TCCTGCAGCAGCAGCAGCAGCAGCAGCAACAGCAACAGCATGTCCCTCAGCACAGAGGCGGCAGCTCGGGAGACGACGCAAAAGGCAGCAGCAGCAACTGCGGCAGCAGCAACTGCGGCAGCAGCAACTACGGAAGCAGTAACTGCAGCAGCAGCAAATGTAGCGGCCTCTACTGTAGCAGCAGCAACTGCAGTGGCATCAACTGCAGGATCAGCACCTGTTGCGACAGCAACTGCAGCAGCAGCAGCAGCAGCAGCAGGAGCAACAGCAGTAGCAGCTGCTGCAGCAGCAGCAAGTTGCTCACCACCTGCCCAAGTCTTCTCTGTCTATTTGCCGGTCCCCACCTTCCCCAAAGAGCAGCAGCAGCAACTCCCGCAGCTTCTGCTGCTGCAGCAGCTCCGTGGAGGCGTCAAGGCTGGCTCGCTGCTCCTCCTCCGTAAGAGAATCTTCTGCTGCTGCTGCTGCTGCACAGGGGCAGGACTTCCACCGCTGCTGCTGCTGCTGCTGCTGCTCACTCGGTGCGGCTGCTGCTGTTGCTGCCTTCGTAGAAGGCCCAGTACTGCTGCTGCTGCTTGGGGCCCTGCAGCAGCAGCAGCAGCCACGTTGCTCTTCCTCTTCAATCCACTCTGGGGGTACTTTGAAGCGGTCCCCCGGCAGCTTCCTGCTGCTGCTGCTGCAGCTGCTGTCGGTCCTGAGCGGGAACGTGCTGCTGCTGTTGCTGCTGCGGGGAGGCGGTGGCTGCAGAAGATCTGTCAAGTCATCATCTTGCGGCAGCAGCGCCAAAAATTCTGCTGCAGACAGCTGTCGCGGAGCAGCAGCAGCAGCAGCAGAGGAACACGTGTCTGGAGAAGTACCTGATACGCAGACAGAAAGGGCACATACAGCTGCTGCTGTTGCCCATGGCCGGCAGCAGCAGCTGCTGCTGCTGCAGCAGCAGCAGCAGCAAGAGCGCCAACTCACCATCTCTGAGAGAGGCTTCCAGTGCTCGCTGCAGCTCCACATCATCCGTATCAAACTCGGGTGGCTGCAGCTGAGGCTGCTGTTGCTGTTGCTGCTGCTGCTGCCGTTGCTGTTGCTGCTGCTGCTGCTGCTGATCCCATTCCATATCTGCTGCAACTCGCGAAAGGCGGGGGATCCTCTAGAGTCGACCTGCAGGCATGCAAGCTTGGCGTAATCATGGTCATAGCTGTTTCCTGTGTGAAATT